CCCCCCCCCCCCCCCCCCCCCCCCCCCCCCCGCCCCCGGGACGGTGATGTGGGTAGGGAATGGTAGGGATGTTGGCGACTTATAACAAGGAGCAGATCAAGCTTCCAGATAATACAGTACGATGATTCAACAAGACCGGGTCACATTATTCTCTTCTTCTTCTTCTGCAGGGATATATAATGACCACGTGCGAAGGATGTCGAGGAGCAAAACCGAGCGAGGTGAGGAAACGGGAGAAACGAATTGGAATGGGGATGAGGGGAGCAGTTGAAGTTGGAGGAGGAGGCACGCGATACCACTGGGGAGGGTTCGTCTTTTTTTTATACATGTTTTTTTTTGCATTTGTTTGGCTGGAAGTGCGTGGTATTTGATTTTCAGTATGTTGTTTTTGTTAATATGTGTTTGAAATGAGATGTTTTTGCATTTGTTGTAATGTTGTGCTGGATGGATCTTTGGGATTGAAGAAGAATAAAAGCAGTTGAATATATATGTCTTGGCTTGATGTGATTTGTTTGGTGACTCTTATGGGGTTCTTTTTGTGGTTGATGTGATGTGTTTTGTAGTTATTGATGTAATGCAAGTTTGTGGTTAATGTGACGAAAGCCTTGATGAAGTTTATTCGGCTTGCTGAGTGAATGAGATGATGATGTAACTAACCTTATCATGGAGGAGAATGAGATAGACTTTGTTGTGATGAAGGAGTGCTTTTTGGGGCTGACACTCAATTTTGAAGGGATTGACATTGACAGTTGATGGTGTTTGAAGTCAGGCTGCGAGAATAGTATTTTGTGTAAACGTTGCTTCCCCTTGTTTACACTCCATCGAGCGAAAGGAGCTTGAAATTGCCATTGTTAGTAAGTCGAAGAGCAAACGAAAGATTACAGATGAAGGGATGGCTAGGATTTTCTCTCGTTGTACGACAAGAACTGTTCGCAACGGCCGCTTAAACATCCTCCGATATACAAAAGTACAATCAACCACAAATGCAACACCAAGTACTCCGGAACAAAGTACGGACCGAACAACCAATTAGCAATGTTTCGCAATCGCTCATGCTTTCGGCCCAACATCAGAAGCGGGGGTTCAACACGGATCGATTCCCATCTTATAACCAGTGTCCAAGCATAGCATGGAAGCCCACAAGCCAGAGTATCAACATTTTATTCCTCAGTTTTTACTGAGAAACTTCTCTCACAAATATGTGCCCCCCGATAGGTCCAAAGCGGGGAGACCCGAGAAGCGCGACTCCAAAAAGAAGAAGATGTATCCTGGAGACCAAGCGGTCAACAGCCTTTGCCTGTCTGATGATGAATTTTGCCTTGATGAATGTTCGGTAAGGCGCATTTGTGGCTTGGAAAACATGTATGTGAATCCGACAAAACCGTCGCAAGACCATGGTCATCTCGAGAAAAAGTTTGCCGTCTTTGAGAACAAGGCAAGCTGCATCTATCGCAAGATCATGAAAGCCCATAAAGACGGAAAGCCGGCCATATTGCTCAAGAGGACGGAGAAGGATGTATTGCGCAAGTTTGTCTACTTGCTCACCTATCGTGGAGAGCAGTTCTACCGAAAGTACAACGTGGACGGTATAGAGGATTATGATGATGGCGACAAGGAGCTTTTACAGCATTACATGGCAAAGCACGGCTTCACCAAACCGATTGATGTCTGGTTGCAGAGCTTAGAGGCGATTATGGATTTGGACATTGACACAGAAGGATGCTGGAAACAGCACATTAGCAAGAGCATCTACTTCCCCATCGCCGATCAGTTCATCGACCACATCTGCGACATGTACATGGCCATCTGCACACCAGTAAACCCTGATGAAGAGTTTGTTCTGACGGATAATTGCTACAACGTGTGTGAAGGGCGGACTGTTGCTTACTTTGATGCCAGTACAGGCAAACACGTCAGTATGGGTCCTCGCTTTCACAACTTTGCACCGATTTCTCCGAGGCTGATGATAGTTCTTCGGTCTGCCCATCTGCCTGAGCCACTTGAGGATGCGGATCCGGCTATCAAGCAGTGGCGGCAGTTCCAGAGGCGGCTGTATATCGACTCCATCTTTGGCAGCGGAATCGAGTCTATTCTGGAAGATCTCCCTGTCCAGAAAGCATTGAATAACTACATGGAAATCGTCGACGGGAGGCTAGCGCCGAGGCCTGGATGGAACCGACGCTTGGGTATAAATGACAGTTTCTGCTTTACAATCTTCAAAGTGCCTACTCGCCATGTCCGAACCATCAATGGCCTCCTGATTGATCACGCGTACCATGGCTCGAGGATTATTTTCAACCGAAAAGACATCTTCCTGGACTTGATGGAATGGTATTTGACAGAACCGTGCGAGGTGGGGAAAAACTTGACGGGAGACAACGCATTGAAGCAGTTGCAGTATATCGAGGGCTTGTCTAACTTTATGTCACGTCAAGGAAGGGAGATTTCGCCCAAAATGGCCTTTTGGCCAAGTGAGGACCGCGACTTGACTCAACTCCAGCTCAAGAACATTGCTGGAGCGCGGTTCTTGGAAGGGGTGAGGTTAAAGGAGGGCAGCATAGGGTTTGGTTTTGACGCAATCTACGAGAAGCTGGGTATTACAATTACTTGTTCATCTACATCTTTTTTTACTGGAGATGCTAATCCGTCCGTGGTAGGTGGGACAGTAGCGGCTTTGGAGGAAGACATGGCAATGACCAGAACCATGCTCCAGATCTGGACCCGATGTGTGGATTTGGATTGGGGATGCCCCGGATATGAATCGATTCGCCGTACCAAACTTGCCTTTCTTTTAGACGGGTATCAACGGCAGCCGTGCTGCAGGTTTTGGATGTTTTTGAAGTGGATGAGGCTGGCCCAGCAATGGGGCCTCGAGTCGATACAAGTCATGGCGACGTTTTTCGAACAAGCATGCCGGGGGCCGGAGGACATGCTTGCATATGGTCAATTCCGCCATCCATCCCCTTGTGCCCACCTACTCTTCGTACAGCTAATGTTGCTATTCTACAGCACACCCGGTCATACAACAGCATGAACTGAACATGGCAATGTACAAGTCTTTTAACGAGAGCATGGCCCGAATCAGAGGAACTGGGTGTGACCTAGAGTCAATGGGGCTTTTCTCACTATTTGGCGACGAGAGTTGGAGAATTCCAACACCCTTTTCTCGCCTGAACCAGCCGTGCGAAATCAAAGGGGATAAGGATGGACCTGATGTCAACAAGACAGTCCGTCGTTCATCATTGGACAGTACAAAGAAGCGGAAAGCATCGACGCAACCTCCCCGCCAGAATCAGCGGTTCAAGCATGACGAGATGAAGGAGAAGGTTGGGGTGAGCAACGCATCCCATTCTTGGCTCTTTGCTACCGAGAACAGGAGAGTACCAACCGGCCCCGTCGAACAAACCAAACCATGCGATGATGACGAGCCGAAGGATGTCTCCGACGATGTAAAGAATGCAGATACAGCCCATCCCTCGCTATTTCACAACGAGAGCTGGAAACCACCGATCGACCCAAAGGAGGAAGCCAACGAGCAGCTTGAGCTCACCACGACGACGATACTCTTGACGTGCACTGCATACGCGATTGTTGCCGCGCTGGCGGTTTCTCTGTTGGCAACTTGTAGCTATCTTCTGGCGCATTTGTCTCATTCTGCCGTATGGCTGTTGGACAGTCTCCCCTGGCTATGGGACACTCTTTCGCCCGCTTTTTATACCCTGGGGCGATTCTTGTTGGTTACTTGCAGCCATCTCCTGGCGGCTTTTGTTCATTTCTTGGTATGGATGTTGAACGATCTGGCAGAGCTATTGGACACTCTTTCGGCCGGATTGTATGATCTGGGGCGAATTCTGTTTTGTCTGGGGCTGGCGTTGGTTTATTCTTGCCTGGTTGTTCTCAAGGCCAAGGGAATCATCTAGTGCTTTTTGGGGGGGAAACTGCACTTTCAACATGGAAATGCGGTCTTTTGGTGTTTGGCAATATTTGCGTAGAACAAATACAAATGTGGATATTTTTTTTTTGAAAGTTTTGTTTACTGAGCGGGGATATCAAATGCCATCTCTGTTGGAGGATGAAATCGGGTAAGAGGAGAAAAAAGGTGGTGACAAGCAGTGATCAGATGACTACTCGACCCAACACAACAAGATAATCTACGCATGGATAATACTAACAAGATACCCAACGACATTCTAAATATGGCTCCTTGATTTGTAACAGAAGCTCAAACGGGACTGGGATCGTGTGGGTTTTGGATGTTGCGGATAGGCGGTGTTGAAGCAGGATATGACGACATTAAGGATGCTAGTGTTGAGTGAAAATAGCACGGTAATATGGATTGACGCATGTAGACTTGTAAGCACAAGTTGTAAGGGTTATGGTGTAGAAGATGGAGATGCCGATTGGCGAAGAGCATTGCGGTGATCAAACACGGAGTTTATACGAGTATTATGGAACAACTAGGATGATGTAATTCTACCAAGTGTATATCAAAACATCGATATAGCAAGAGTTGACTCAATATAGCCCCAAGATGCTGGGGCGTGTCATCATGAAGTCGTAGGTGATTTACACAATAATATTACTCAAGACAATGGAGTAACATCCAAACAACACAGCTAGAGACCTGCCAAATAGAAATATCAACTACGTCAGATTCCCTCACGAGGCATAAAAATAGCTGCAAATTAGCAACAGTCTTCATAGCATTTATATTAGATGATGTTAAGCGATGGGGAATCCCCAGACACTTTACTTCACCTATTCTCATACCACGCTTGAGACTGCTCACGAAAAAGGTTTCCCATTCAATCACATTGATTCGCCCATTTATCACCGACGAGCACCTCGAAAGCAGAAGCGTTCCAAGTCCGGTAGAAGAAATGCATCATGAAACCCCACAGCTCCCAATGTCAACGCACGAACTGTGCCAGGTACAACGTCACACAAAAGACGCCTCACATCTCTAGCCGAGCTGAACAGTCTCGGCCTTCAATACCGAGTGCCATAGGACTTGCTTCCATCAGGATCCGACATTGCGAGTCACGGCCTGGTAGCGCGCAAGTGTCAAACGCTTGGTACAAAGGAAACTAGGCAAGCGAGGAACTCAGGATGATGAAGCAGCCAAATATCTGAGGGCGTCACATCCACGGTAGTCAATGCCGTCGTCCTCAATAAAGGCAACAGTTACATCGCGCATCCAGAGGAGCCTTCGTATCCGTACTCTTGCAGAATCGCATCTCCATCTGCCCGATGCAAACAACAGTCGATATAGTTGGCCCCCAACGGCGAAAATGGCATCATTTTTGAGAACAGTCGTTGGCTGCGCCGCATTGCGTCTACCTTCTCCATCCTCCGTTTTCTAGCTCGCCAAAGTACAAATACAAAATACAAAATAAAAGATCCATGGACAAGAAAAGACGAGGGCCAAGTCGTCGCCCGGAAAGCGACCAATGAGAAACCCGGAAATCGTGGCAGCACCAGCTCAGATATGTCCACATTACGCGCTCAAGACGACCAGGGGCCGAGATTAATTAAACAGGCCTCTGATCTGCACGAGAAAGATGAAACGGATTCTGAAACAGCAGGCATCAGAGGGCCTTGCCTGATGGAGCCTAGTCGAATGTGCATGGGTTAGGCGTCAGACGTCGTGATCCCGGCATTGTCCTGGCTCTGGCTCTGGCTCTGGGCTGGGAAGTGCCGAAGACTAATATCAACTGCTAATGTGAACGGCTCGGCAGTGAGATGGCCTGGAGGTGGCGGTGAGAATCGACAGATAAGATGAACTGTTGAATGCGGCCTGAAACCGCGAGTACGAGCATCTTTGTTGTAAGCTCAACGTGGGTGGCTCTCCTTTCGTCTGCCGTCGAGATGTCGATGCCAAGCCAGAGGGTACAGTATTGCAGATGTGTTTGTTGGCCATCAGCTTACCACTGCAGAGGTCCAAGCAGTCATCCCGTGCGTAGGCACAAGCCCGGTAAGCTGCTGCTCCCAATGGACCACGTCAGCCATGCCGCCAACCGAGTTCTCTCACCGTCTTCCAAGATGGAGATGCTGTAGGGCTCGCCCAGCGGTCGAAACATGCCGCCTGTCTGAGCCCCCCCCCCCCCCCCCCCCCCATATCCAGGGCATTTGCTAGCCGACCTATTCGTATACACAGCTGTCGAATCGGTATACCTGCTCCGAAGCTGGCTCGTCATGCGCATGAAAGGGCTGTAGCGAGCCAGACTCAGCCGCCCAATCACGAATATCTCGGGCATCCTTGCCGCCCAGGAATAGGCACACCACTTCGAAATTAAGCTGCCATGCAAGACGTGGCATGCGGGGAGGGTCGCAGAGATCCTTCCAAGCATTGCAGACATTTTCCTTCCAGTCAGCCTGGGCCATGTGGTGATTTCCCAAAAAGCGCATGAATCAGCGGAGAAAATGTCATTTCCGTCAGTGCAATGCTTGCTTGTGCATTTGGGGGCCAGGGCTGGGTCGCAGATCCGGTTCTCATCGTGGCATTGACAGGCAACACAAGACTCATCCGAGAGGCAAGCTCAAACTGGGCGTCGAATGCGAGGCTCAGCCGTCAGTCGTTCGGTTTCTTAGCGCCGGTTCGACACCCCCCGGCTGTGGGAGGAGAAGAGCATGGCAGCGCCTGGGGTGCAGCACAAGCGCGGGCATCGAGGGCGTCATTCAGCAGTTTGGCATGACCGCATTGGCCGAGTGATGGCAAGTGATGGCGAAAGAGGGCAAGGATGGCCCCTGTCGTCACAATGTCGGCGGTTGATCACTCTTCAGCCTCGTTGAGAATCACTGCTGCTGTGAGGACGGAGTAGTCCGTCGAGAGTCTAGACGTTGAGCAAGGGATTCGGAGCTGAGAGGCGTGTTGTTCTTGGTATTGATGCGGCTGATGAGCAGAGATGGAAAATTCATGCAGCTGTAATTCAGCTCGAGGAAGAGTGAAGGGATTTGATGGGTTGTATTGTCGCTGTATGTATGTAGGTACGGTCAACTGAAGCCTCTACGAACTTATGGTGTGGTAGGGCTCAATCGCGGCATCAAGCCACCAAAAACACCAGACCAAGCGCCACAATCCCCCCCCCCCCCCCCGCGCGCCACCTTTTCTACCTCGAGTTTATCTTCCCACACTTTTTGTCGACCATCGCATGCACACTCTACCCACCACAACTCCAACGTCGCCAATCACCAACCCGGTCCTCTTCGCGCCAGACTCGGCACTGCGACCGCTTGATCTCGTGCTGAGCCCTGCCCTGGAGCCTGCTGGAGCCCTCTGGATCCCCCCCCTGGCAGCTCGCATGCTCGATCTGCCTGCTGAAACCGCTTGTCGCATCAAAAAAAGGGGGGCGTGCGTCTTGTCAGGGGCCCCGTCTTGCCGTCCACTCGACGCTCTCTTTCGCTCTCGCCGACGCTTCTATTTCTTTCACTTGTTCGCGCCTCTTTGCTGCTTGATCCGAGCGTCTCTGTCTCAACTAATCACGACCAAGAAAAGAATCTCGTTGTCTCACCCCCTTGCTGCTTCTGCTCCGCTCCTTCGAGAAACACGCGCTGTCCGATAGCCAGTCAACCGTTCCCACACGCCCCTCCCTCGCTCACACGTCGTCGGCTCACTCGACAGGACTGGCCAAGTTCGTTTCTTCGCTGCCCGCTGGTTTGAGCTTGCAGAATACAACAACGATCCCCATCTCCATCTATATAACCACCCTCAGTCGCCCGCTCGTGCCCGAGCCTTTTTTGCCCAGCATGACCACTGAAGCACAAGAAGAATTCGACAAGCTTGTCGCCAACAATACCCATCGCGAGACCCTCCACCCTGAAGACCGTGACGACGCCGACTCCCACCACGGATCTGACCTCTCGGAAGAGGAACAATATCGCAACGCCAGAATCGAAGAAGCCATGAGAATGCCTACCGCCGCCGCCGAGCTCAGGCTCCCCCCCGCGTCGTTTGACAGCGGCCGTTCCACCGGTGTCAAGGGTGTCATTGCCGATGCCAGAAGCTATGAATCTGCCCGCAAGACGAAATGGAGAAACCGAGCCATGTCCGTTCGCAAGAGTGTCTTTGGCGCCCCCCGCTCAAGCGACAACAAGAGCGAGAGCGAGAGCGAAGAGGCCATCTTTAGCGGTGGCGATGACGACGAGGAAGAGTTCCTGAGCCAGTGGAGAGAGGCCCGGAGACAGGAGCTCGAGAAGGAAGCCGCCGGCCAATCTATTCGCACCCGGAGGACGAGCCCCAGCACGCGGATATACGGCCGCATGGATGAGGTGGACGCCTTGGGGTACCTAGATGCCATCGAAAAGGTCAACAGAGATACCACTGTTGTTGTATTTGTCTACGATCACGAGGTAAAGAACCCCGCCGTACCCATATTGGTGTGACAATGTTCTAACATTAGTTGTCTAGAGCGAGGTCTCCTCAGCAATCGAATCAGTGCTGGTGCCGCTGGTCAAGTCCAACACGTCGGTTCATTTCGTCAAGGTCCACTACGAGGATATTGAGTTCGACAATGCCGCGGTGCCTGCCATTCTGGCCTACCGAAACCAGGGAGACCTGTTTGCCAACCTGACCGGCATTATCGAGATGATGCCCGATGACGAGCACTTTGGCCCCGAGTCCCTGGAAAAGGTCCTCAAGAAGCACGGCGTGCTGTGAGGGCCGAACCTGCACAATAATCTTGCATACTATAAACCATTCTGCATCTCGCATGCCATCATTTTCATCTCTTCCTTTTTCTTTTTTCTTTTGTACACCAACTATTAATCAGACGGGCTTGCTTCGCTTAGAAAGAAGAAACAAGGCAGCCCACTCGGATAGCATCATCTGCTTGTCTCGGCCTCCTGACCGGCCCCCGGCTGCCGGCACGATCATCCGTGCCACAACATTTTTTTGTGAAGATACGATACCCCACTTGTTGGAATTTCTTCTTGGCTGCTGGGATCATGGACTCGGGACGGGTTTTACCCCTTGGCGGCTGGCAATGGCTGCCGTACTCGTACCCCAACAGCCGACCCGGATCCCTGCCATCGGAATTGGTTCAATCCATTCCCGCATTTTGTGTTTTATTTTTTGATGTGTCTTTGCTTCGGCCAACACGGAGTTTGCGGAGACGGGGGGATGGGAAATAAAAACTTTAGACGGGGAGCGGCACGCGCATAATGTCGGAATGTCGGAACGCCTTTTCGTTTTTTCTCTTGATATTTTTTTTGTTCTGTTTTGCTTGCTTTTTTTCACATGCCAGGATACGACGGGTTATGGATTGGGGGCGATGGTTATGGTGTTGACCGGGGGGGACATGGTAAAGAGATAGGGCTGTCTATATGCCGAAGCGATATCGGCCAATATATATGAAATTACAATTGCACATTTCAATTTATGCCAGCTGCGGTGATTGTGTACCTATAGATGCTGTTGCATGCGTGGAAAATGTGCGTAAGCGTAACAAGACGCCTGAGCCGTGGCGCAACTTGACCGATTTACAGTGCAAACGAGGTACCTGTATAGGATAGCAAGCTTTGATGCTACGAGAGCGGGCTTATTCTCAACGTCTTGTTCTTGATCAGACCGGAAATTCGTTGGGCTGATTGGGCTTGAAGTGGCTGGCTCTACACATATACTTTTTTATGTACTTGACGAGAAGACATCGCCGGTCCCAATCATATGAAAGACGCCACTCAACTCCAGCAACAAAATACAAGAAATACCTACCTTGATGCATTTCCAAATTGAATTCAAAACTGCCTTTAAATGGGCTCCCCGCATCGACAAAAGGGGCCCCGCCTGGCGGAGACTTGGAAGCTCGGGATGGCGGGAATGGAGATTGGAGATTGGAGGAGGGTCCACAGTGGGAAGAGAGGCACCGACGTATTGAAGGACAATGATGAGGATGGAAGAGGGTGCGATGGGGTGTGTGGGATGGATCTGGGAGTTGCAGGTGTTTTTGTCTATTTGTTTGATTTGATTTGTCTTGTGTTGGGCTGAGCCGAGCTGGTTTCCATCTAGCTGCTGGAGATGATGCTTTGCTGGCTTGGCTTGGCTTGAGTGATGGAGACAAATGTTGAGTTTATAAGGAGGTAGCTTAGTAGATAGCGAGTACCTTGAAATAGCCTCAGCATGTGTTACATGTACGAGTATATCCCGATACACACAGTGGCCCCTCACTTGGAACACACTACATTACATTGCCTCACGCATGACACTCGGTCCCCTTGCAAGCCTCACCACCAACGCTGCAGACGGATGGAGAACTGGCCTAGCTTCCTTTGCCTCCGCATGTTTGATATCGGCATCGACGACCATCACGGCTGGTGCCTGTGCATTCGCATTCATCATTCACTCTCAATAACCAACGCTCTCCCTTGGACGAGATCCATGCCTTGACAAGACAAAATACACTAAAGCTAGACCAAAACCCAAAGCCAACAGAGGATAGATGGCAGCCCAACTCATTCATCCCATCAAACCGTGAAAAGCCTCGTCCGCCACTCCAGCGGCGACCCCACCATCCATCTCAGTTGTCGGACACTTTGTCGAAGCAGACGAAGCCTCGTCTCACTTTGCCCTCCTCTTTTCTTGTAGCTTCTTCTTCATTCGCCCGCTTGCCCTTCTCTCCGTCCTCTCTCGTCCACTTCCTCCTTCTCTGCAGCTCGGCTACCAATCTAATCGAGTCGAAGCGAATCAACAACACATACTCAAACCAACTCCCTACTGTAGACCGACTGCATAATCTTCACGTGAGACGAACCGACCATCCATCTCACCCATCAAACCAACTCCACTCCATCTTCGTCCATCTCACAACCCTGAACAATTGCCTCGTCCGCTATCCAGTAGAGGTCACGCGCGGCGCTGCCCAGAGCTCAGTTCAACAGCCCAACCCCACCTCTTCCAGCGCTATTCGCAGCTGCCGGGGAGCTCGCCAAACCGCTAAACCGCTGAATCCACAGCGCCATCAGGCAGCCCCGGGTTCCCGCAGGCATCAACTCAGCCTCAGAGCTATCCCTGGTGCACGGCTTTACCACATCCAGCTTCACCACTCGGGCCTATTCTTTCAATGTCCTTGTGTTGCAACGTGCAACATTTACTTCACGGCCAAGCTTTTCTCGTGGATTCTCATCTTCTACTTCTTCCCTCTTCTTTCGGGAAACCTCTTCTTCTGCTTCTGCACTTCCACCGTGGTTAGTTCTTTCACCTTGCGAGCTGTTGGCCTCTGACCTCACTCTCCATTCATCCCAGCTCAACCCCTCAACCCCCCGCCGCCCTTCTTCTCCCCTCCATCCATTCACACAAGACCACCACTGCCACTGCCCTCCTCGCCGCCCTCCAACAGTTACCCGCGCCCTGTTGATTCATGGGCCTGCCGACGAGTCATCGCTTGGGAGCGTGAGATGGTCCTCGAACTGACCACAGTCACTTCGTGATGGAACAGCATGATACGCAGCTTCGCCGTCGCGATACTTTGCTTGCACGCCTGAGCAACCCTTCCAACTCTCTGCCAGCACCGCCGCCTTCGACTTCGACACTTTTGCCACCGGCAACAACACAAACATCTGCAGACGCCCCAGGCCTCTCTGCCTCTGAGCCCACTCTCCGATTCCCCAGGCCGCAGGGCAACACGCAGCTTGCGAATTGGTTATCGAGCAGCAACCCCAACATGATGGACATGGCTCCGCCCCCCGACGACAACGGCATGGCCGATTCAACCTACGAGCTCGTCTCGAGCCCCAGCACCGACACGGAAGAGTCCCAAGACGACCGCTACCCCGCCTCCATGAGCGAGTCCGTCGGCTCGCTCGACTTTCATCGCCCGGACGATGTCCGGAGCCTGGCCGGGACAGACGATTCATTCGGGACGGACAATGATGACGCCGACACGCACGCTGCAACGTCTGAGCGCGACGACACCGAGGATGAGGAAGACGATGAGGACTCGGTTCACGAAGACACCGTGCTGACCGAGTCCCAAATAACACACGACGAGTCCAGCAAGACTGAGCCCTTTCCCCCGTTCAAGAATGATGCATATGCTCAAGGATCGCAAGAATCGCTCGATTACACGGATCAGAGTCTGGGAACTCCGTCTTTCACTCCCGAGGCAAGCCGAGTCATTGAACGGCCTGCCGACCACGAGAAGAAGTCCCTCAAGAAGAAGATGTCTGAGCTATGGCAATTGGAGTCTCAGGCCAAGGAGTTCCTGGTCGAGAACACGTGGGGGGCCTTTCCCGGCTTCGTGTTTGTCGTCGTCATCCTTGTGGTGCTACCCATCTTCTACGGGCCGGCATCCAAGTCGGCTCTGCCAAACGTTCAGATGCCACCGTCCATCACCGCAACCGTCACGACCACATCCTATCTCACCACCTCGACGTCGTTGTCACCAAGCTCCAGCAGTAGCAGCCTGATCCCTTCGGCCACCAATGGCCTGGCGTTGATGCCCATTGGCGAGGAGCAGTTGGACGACTGGATATTCGGCGCCAAGAAGCCGGTCGTGTCATTCACCGCCGAGGAACACAATGATATTCTGATTCACATTCCCAACAGCATCAAGAAGAGGTGGCTGGCCAAGGAGTGCTTGACGGTGACTGCCAAGAGAGGAGAAGTCCCCGTTGACACCACCATGTCTCTGGAGGACGATGGTCTCCGTCTAAAGTTCGCCAAGAGAGAAACCCACGGCGTCGTCAGCGTCATTCTCGAGGCCAAGTGCCGCCCAAAGATTCACAAAGTTGTTAAGGTCCACTTTGGCAAGGGCTTGATGGAGGGCGCCCTGGAGCGGACCAAGCATCTCGCCCATCTTGCCCAGGATCTCTCCGGCCTCGTACCCGCGGCTGCTCAGGAAGCAGAACGGCGTATCGAGAATGCGAAGCAGTCACTGGGCTCGGCATGCCAAAATGTTTGCCAAACAGTCACCGAGACCGTATCCAAGACGTTTGGCGCCAGCTTTGCCAACTTTGCAGATGTACGACAGCAGCTGGACGACTTGGTGTCAACAGCCAAGACCCAGTTTGACGAAGCCACCCAAGGCGTCGCGAGCAAGATTGACAAGATTACGCAACAAGCTACGGAGAACCTGCCCTCGGTGGAAGATGTGCAAAACCAGCTCCAGCTCCAGCTTCTCGATGCCCAATTGTCAGCCAAGCTTCTGTGGCTGCAAGCCTTTGGCAGCGCGGAGGAGCACGAAGAATACTTGCGCAAGGCCAAGTCGTACTCGGCCGACAAGCACGCAGCGGCCGCGCAGTCGAAGCTGAGGCATGCCAAAAAGGAAGTCCAGGAGAAGCTGACAGACTCTGCTTCGCGGCTGTGGTCTATGCTAAGGGGCAAGTCTGCATGCCGACAGAGGTCGCACGAGCAGTGCAAAGCCGCTCCATAAGGAATGCTTCGCTTTCTCTTGTCTTCTTTTTCACTTTTCTATTTTGCAACCACGGAGATCCGCAAGGGTTTGGTCCATGTATTAATGAACTTGAATGAACAGAAACCGGTTGGAATGGATGGACGGAGTTTATGGATTTGACCTTTTTACTTTGCTTGTCTTATCACACTTTTTTGTTCTTTGAGGTTGAGGGGAAATGGGATTTCGTTCTATGGCAAACGCAAATACACGAGCTACCGTAGTTTACTTTGCCTGCCTATGTCGTTGGTATCTTCTATACATGAGACTTATAATACCATTTACCTCGCTCTTACATCTGATACAGCCATTATACCTTGGTACATGTAGACTGTCGTGCTTATCAGGTTAGTACTGCGAGTACATTTGGTAGTCATCCATGTATTGCTTGTAGGGAAGGGATTCAATAGTCTGTGTCACTTGATCACACCAGCGTCGGCGCGCCCGTGATTTCGCACGTTAAATGGCTCAGGACCACGTGCCGTCTATTTAACTCACTGTTCTGTACCTCGCATTAGTACCTGGGTAGCTTGGGTTGTAATGTCCAGCCTTTTAAAGCTGTGAAGAAGAGCTGCATATTGATGGTCAGGCAGGGTATTCAAGTCGCCTAGGCCATGAGGGGCAGCAATACTCCGTTGAACGGCAAATATAGACGATAAATGTCGCCACCCGACATGTTCTACTTTGTTACTCTACTGCAGATGCACGCAATAGATTAGAAACACAAAGAGGGCATCTTTAGCAGCAGAAATGTAATACATGTTTATGAGTAGAGCTTCAAAGTACAGGTACCTTGCCATCAAAAAACAACCGTCTCGCGATATAAAACAGGTGCCGCTACAGGTTAGTAGAAACAGGGAAATGAAGATGGAAAAATGAAAAGAAAAAAAATCAGCTCCGCCACTCAAGAACTGAATGGAAGGGAGGGGCAGCAAAAGACACCCCTAGCCCAGCGCCAGGCAGAACCACAAAGCCCCTCGCGCGGGATACCAACCACCACCTTGTTTTTTTTTTTAAACCCCAAACCTCCGTCCCCCGCTAGGCAGCCCCAGGTACCTTACAGAAACATACAATAAACCGCCATCTTTTTCGCGACAAAGGTCCATCCATCGCCAGCGATACTTTGGTCTTTCTCCTTTTTTTTTTCCCCTTCTCTTTTCTCTTTGCTGAGCTTTGGTGAGTTTTGTTTTACTGCGAAGCGATATTTTTTTTTTTTTTTTTTTTGGGTCAGGAGGGGGGATACGGGGACGAGGTGCTTGCTCTTTGTCACCCCGCTACGCCACCCCTCGACAAAACGCTTGTTTGCCAGCATCAGTTTTTTTTAAACCCTTTGCGATAAACGACTGACGGTGCTTCTTCTTTTTTTTCACGGCGATAGAGTCACCCTTTTTTTTCTTTCGATCTTCGCATTTTCCAAAATGTCTTCCACCGACGCTACCGAGCCCAAGGTCGAGCAGACCAGCACTGAGGTAACGACAGCCCCCCCCCCCCCCCGCGTGAAACCGCTCTGCGTGTCCGACCCGAATCGATCGATGATGCCCTTTCGGTCGGCTGCCCGATATTTCGACCGTGGTTTTTGTTGCTGACACGCGGGCTTTTCTACTCTAGGCTCCCGCCTCCGTGACCGCTTCCTCCGTCTTCTCCATGTTTGGCGGCGGCGAGAAGAAGGAAAAGAAGGAGGAGGAGGACCGCGGCGACAACTCCGGAAGCGCAAAGGCCCAGCGCGAGGCCAAGGGCGAGGAGGTAAGCTAAGCGACTTGTATCCTGATGGGGGAAAATTATTCGGCTGACAAGAGTGTTTTTCGATAGGACGAGGCCCCCGAGAGCGAAGACGTCCACTTCGAGCCCGTCGTCAAGCTGACCGAAAAGGTCGACGTCAAGACCAACGAGGAGTCCGAGGAGCAGCTCTTCAAGATGCGCGCCAAGCTCTTCAAGTTTGTCAAGGCCGCCAAGAAGGACGGCGAGGAGGCCCCCGCCACCGCTGGCGAGTGGAAGGAGCGCGGCACTGGCGATGTCAGGCTGCTCAAGCACAAGGAGAACGCCAAAGTCCGCCTGGTGATGCGACGCGAGAAGACTCTCAAGGTCTGCGCCAACCACTACAGTACGTTTGTTTCCTAACCCCACATTCACGTATTCCGCAACCCCCCCTGGCCGCCCCGCTTGATCGGGCGTATGCTCGTATTGTTACATGGAGAAAGAGACATGAGGGTTTACTAACAGGTGCGCGCAGTTGTCCCCGAGATTACGCTGTCGCCCAACGTTGGCTCTGACCGAAGCTGGGTGTGGAACGCCGCCGCCGATGTCAGCGAGGGAGAGCCCGAGGCTGTGACTCTTGCTATCCGATTCGCCAACTCAGACAGTATGTCAAGATCTCAACTCTTAATGCTGGCAGACGTGAATATCCACTAACATGAATGATGCGCAGATGCCAACCAGTTCCGGGATGCGTTCCTGAAGGCACAAAAGGACAGCGCCCACCTCTTCCAGGCCGCTGACGGCGAGGAGGAGAAGAAGGATGAGGAGGAGAAGACTGCTTAAGCCGATAACTTCTTTGGCCCCCCTGATCATCAACCCCCCCCAAATCAATGCTTGCCGCTTCTCGAACCATATTATTTTCCCCATCACTTACGCCGCATCAGCCCGTTGATCAACGACACGGCGATGCTCTGAACCTTTTGACGCCCCCCCACGCCCCATCACAACACAAACATGACAACACCATCAATACACCACACACACACGCACGCGACAGATGGATCGACACGAGCCTCTGTAACACACAAAGTCGATGTAGCCCAGAGAGAGTCGATCTGGATCACGGAGACTGGAGAGAAGGACGCCCCTGGGAACTTGAGCACCAAGTGGTGCATGCCTTTGAGGGGAGAGCGAATAATGGCATTTGATAGTAGAAGACCCTGAAAGAATTAAAAGTTGATACCAGAGGCAGTTTGTATTGTGACATGTCAATGATGAGAGTGAAGTGCTTACGGTAGAGAGGATATGATGGGTGGTTTTATGTGTAATGAAGCGTTGATTGCTTCTTGTCGGTGAAGTCTCCCCTGACCATCTTTCCGACGTAATTGATGTCTGGCGAGGATTCTTCCTCGTATCAAGTAATTTAGACTTTTATTTCCGTCAATAGAAAGATGGACAAGGAGGATAACGTTTGTTTTGTTCCCCCACGAGAGTCGATTTTAGAACGTCATTGAGGAAGGGCGCTCTGCTGGCTACCTTTTCAGAGTGCCCAGCTGCGTGGAAGTAATGTAAGGACGATTGGCCTGAGAGATGCATGCTTCTAAGCCTGACGTGTGGAGGCGATGCTGAGGATCTTTTCGGTCGTTGATGAGCATGATTGCGGTATCGCTGCTACTGAGGATAGGGGAGAGACTCATTGTGCCTGCGTGGGGTTGGTATGGTGACGCTCTCATGTTTGTGGGAGGAATAGGAAGAAGGGGGGAATTTGTTTCTACGGATATGAGATGTTTAGGTACTGGTGAATTAAGTATGATGGGGAGCGTGTTGCTGCGGGGCGGTTTGTGCTGGTTGTTGAGCGGGATGGTGTAGAGCAGATTGGACTGCTTCGTGAAGCCTTATGGTTCTGTGAAGTGGTTCACGAAGTGAATGTTTATGAGGATGATGGTTGAGGGTAGAGGAGTAGTGTAAATAGGTGCTAGGTAGGGATAGGAAAGAAAATATAGAGGAGGGGGGTTGAAATTGGTATATCAAATTGTACTTGTGATGGATGTTTATTTGGCACTGTATCGTATCAGCCATAAGATTGATTATTAGACCGTGCGGAATGAGATGCTATGCAAATGATACTTTGTTCGGTTTTGAAGTGGTGGTGGTAGTGGCATATCACCGGAGAGGTAGGGCTGTAACTATGGTTTCCGGCTGTAGATGTAGATGCCGGAGCAGGGAGGATGGACTGAAGATGCTACACAGAGCACGGGTTGACACTTGTCTGACCGATGCCACTCGGGCATTTTCTGTGACTGGTATGATGTGTAGATGGACACCTGTGAGGAGAAATGTAGATGCTTGAGCTACATAGGACGTGGACGTGCACTCGGGGATTTTTCTACGCCTTGTGTGATGCATCATCACGCACGCAGGTGTCAGTACCTATCTGCGGAAAGATGAAGATGGAGACGGAGATGGCGGCACAGGTACTACGGGGTATATGGTGGAGGTTATGTTTGCAATCTGGATAAGAGAGTCAATACGGCTGGTACTGCAGATGCAGAATATAGCGAGAATGTAGTCAAAATCCAGACCTCAGAATCCAGAATACGCTTGAATACGCGGCATTTCCAACCGTCCGTCTGCATTGTACAGTAGAGCTGTTCGGTCCAGGTTTAGCGCGCCGACGGAACAAAAAAAAAAGAGATCAAGCTCGATTCCGTCCGATCTCTCGCAACTATGACGGAGTACGCCGAGCCGGTGCTTGTCCACGCCAAAGTACACAATCACAGGCAGAAGGACGCCCAAAGTCTTGCCGCTCTAAAGGGAGAAAGAGAGGGGGCCGCCTCAGTTAGCTGAAAATGGGCGGATGGCCGGGGCGGTGCCTTTGCTCAGCTACGGGATGGATTGATTCAAGTTTTTTTTTTCTTTTTCTATACTTGGATATAGTAGTAGCCAAGGGTGGAACCTGTAGGCTGTAGGAGAAAGAAATAGAGGGGGAAAATCGGGATTAGGTAGAGAGGAAAAGAAGAGGTGAGAGAGCGAGTGAGCGATGGAAGACGCGGCACAGCGAGTGATTGAGTCGGTCGGGGGGTGGCTTAAGCTGAGGGACAGACAGGCAGCCCAAGGTACATGTACATGTACATGTAGGCGGACAGCCTCAAGCAAGCCCCAATCATTTTCTTCTCTTAGTCGGTTTCCCAGTCTGTCTTTTTACTTTCGTTTTCAATTCCCCCCCAGCAATACGGAGTACAAGAAAGAAGCTTTTTTGGAACAACAAGGCAGCAGAAAGAGATTTGCTTGTGCGAGTTCGGCCACAAAAACAATTCCAAGTGCGTCCATCTGGCCTCTTCCTTTGACCCCCTTCCGCCCTGTTTCTGCACCCCTTTTTTATTCCCTCTCTCGGTTGGCTTGCTTGCGTGTTTGCGTGTGCTTGCGTGTGTTTGTGCCGTGTGCGTGCAGTGCAGTGCAGTGCAGTGCAGAGCTGTGCTTTTTTGGCCGTGTGTTGTGTCTGACAAGGGAACAAGACAGGAACTGGACTGGACTTGACTGGACAGGACAAGGGCCACTGTAAGGCTTGTCTCTGTAGTTTATACTTTTTTTTTTGGTATCATCCTATCCTATTTTTTTTCCCGCCCCGGGGATTTTTATTTGCAACCATCTCCATTATCTATTTTCCCGTAATAGTCGTTTTTTCGAGGGAGGGTTATAACCAAGGAAAGTAAACGATTGCATCATGTTGGTCGAGGTGAGTTTTTACACGCAGCGTTTTTTTCTCTCATTTCGTTTCCCATTTCTTGTTCTCCCCCGGTGTCTTGTCCAATTGGACACGGTTTTTATAATTCGTCGGGAGCAATTCGAATATGCCCTTTTTTTTCTCTCTTCTTTTTTTGGGCACCGTGAAAGGGAAGCACAGGCGCAGCCGTTCCGGAGCAGCTCGCAGAGGGAATGATGTGGTTTTGTGAGAGGAGGGCTTTTTGGGAATCGCGACGGGACTGGCGGCGGGCCGGAGAAAAATCGTGACGGACGACGACAAAGTGCTTGCCAGCTGGAGATGGAGGCCCTGCTCGCCAACTGCCGGCCAGCTGGATCTTGCCCGACGCCTGGGCACTTGATTGAATGGGCGTTGGTCGTTGTGTTGTCTACGCGATGCTCGTGGTTCTGCTTCACATTCGTCCTCTGGCTGGAGCTGAAGCTGAAGCTCGCCTCGTCAACATACGCACATCCTCTCTGCTTGCTTCGTTCGGCGCGTTTTTCGTCCTTCACGATAGCCTCTCTTTTCTCTTCTGCCCATCTGCGCAGCAGGCAGCGCCCTGTTTTCCCTTCGTTTTCCCGCTTTTGATTCTCCACGCTGTTTTCACGATGCCGATTCGCCGTGGAGCGCCACGCGCGGCGAAGCTGGCCATTACTGCGAGGCTTGGGGCTGACGATGAGCAGAGGAAAGTCAAGGTCGTTACGGACCAGCACGTCATGTGAGTTTTCTTTCATCCACCATGATGCCTTCACCGGCACACCTTGTTTTCTTCTCCTTCACATGAGATTGCTGGTTTCCCGTGTAGTGCCTCGTGCTGACCTCATGCCGCAGCGACAAGCCTTCACCCGTGGCAGAGTTTCCCATGCGGCAATGGAGCTTGCGGCTTCACCTTGTAGACGAGGACGGCAATGAGCGGCCCGCCGACGTCTTCACCAAGGTTGTCTACAACCTGCACCCCACATTCGAGAACCCCGTCCAGAGTGAGTCTGGGCCCTGAATCTGAACCTTGCCGTGGAGCTCTCTGACGTGAAATGTCCGCTGCAGCCTTCACCAAGCCCCCCTTCATCTGCTCCAACGAGGGCTGGGGCGAGTTTGAGATTGGCATCGACCTCTACACCACGGAAAAGACCAAGCTGGCCCCCATCATCCACGATCTCAACTTCCAAAAGGAAAAGTACGAGGTCACCCACACCGTCGTCTTCAAGAACCCTTCCCAGGCGCTCCAGGAGAGGCTCCGCGAGACTGGGCCCCTGCCTTCCGACGAGGAGCGGCCTAAGAAGAAGGGCCTCGTCAGCAAAAAGGGCGCTCAAAAGTACGACTACGAGAAGATTGCCGAGGCCCTGGAGAAGCTCGAGGAGGAGGACCTGCTGCGCGTCATCCAGCTGATTAACGAGAACAAGGGCCCGGATACGTATATCCGAAGCGATGTGGAAGGTGAGTTGCTGGGCCTGCGTTGTTTCCCCTGCTCTTTTCTTTGTTTTCTTGGTTTACCCCATCATCCCACGTCCTTTTGAACTTGTCCAACCCCTGTGTTGATGCTCTCGTTTGGAACTGTAGTGAATAACTTGTTTGAAGCTGGCGAATTCTCCATCGATCTGTACACCATGCCGGATGCGTTGACAACGAAGCTCTGGGAGCACCTGGTGAGTTTGCCCAATGAAACGACGTGTACATTCAGTTCTGACCAAAGAATGAAATCGCATAGTCCAAGAAGGGTCTTGTCGCCTAGAACGGGCGTCTTCGAATGCCGCCGTGTCTTGGAGACCCAACAGTAGGGAATGCAGGGCACTGGCCGACGAGACAAGAGTAGCAGTTTCTTTTTTTTTTTTATATCTGTCACGGCAGGGAGCAATTACGAGAACACGCACAAGGCATCGATCGATACGACGGAAGTAATTTGGTTATGTGTACGCAAAGGGGTGCAGAGACGAGACGAGGCGGGCAACGGCCCCGGCAACAACAATTCGCTTACAACGACAAACCGCGAAATCGGTCACGTCTTTTTGTTTGTTTGTTTTCACAAACGAAATCTACTCGATATCCTCTCTTCGTTCGCTTTTTTCTCTCTCTCTCTTTTTACTTGAGGGAAACTAATTACCTTTTGTGCTTTTCTCCTTCTTTTGCCTCTCCTTTCCTGTCCCCTGGTAGTAAGGAGGATGTTTCGCCATTGAAAAGCCGTCAAGAAAAGAATTCATTAGCTCGGGGGAAAGAAAAGAAAAACAAAAATCAAGGCTGGCCGGGGAGTTTTCATTACAATGGTTTCCTTTTTTTTTTTTTTTAATGAGGGGGCGTGTCGGACTGAGACTCTTGTGTCTGTGTGTGTTGGAGGGCAAAAAAGCATGGAGATGCTTTTTATTTCTAGGTTGCTGTTGCTGTATTTCGGTATTAATTTGAACGTGATGATCGAAGCTGATGGGACGGTGTTACTTTGAACGTGATGAATCGAAGTCGATGAGGCGGTGTTAATTTGAAGGTGATGAATCGAAGCCAATGAGAATCGAGTGTGTTTGGTGACGTGGTGCTGTGCGAGGAGATGCATGTGAGAGTGACGCTTGATGGTCCCTTGCAGGGGGACTGGAGCAATCTTATCAGAGTGCCGTCATTGGGCCTGGGACGTGTATGATTTGAGTACAGAAGATGTGCTTGCATGGATTGGACTGGACTGGCGTGATTCTCCTCTTGATCGTGTCGTCTGTAAGGCACGGCGAGTCCTGGCTGTATGTTGCTTCTTACAGGTATTGCATTGATACTGATGTCCGTCAATTGGAAGCTCCGATGCGTGTACTACAGTATGTAGACGGATGTTTTATACAGGCATCGTTGCGTGACCAAAGTCTTGTTTTGATGGAATTAGCAACGGATACACTTTGAGCTCAAGAATCGAGGGACGCCATAAATAGCAGCCGTTGTCTTGGAACGGTGAGATCAAATGACGCTGATGCTGATGCTGATGCTGATGCCTAACAAGCTTAGTAGGTAGGCTTTGAAGCCCCCTTGCGTAACCGAGACGGCCAGCTCACTCAAACGTTGTGGTCTCTCGACTCTCGGTGAAGCAACAGCCACGAACAAGCACAAACTTGGCTCGCAGCTTGCAGTGCCTTGCAAGTACACAGTACTTGCAGACCAACTCGCAAGTCCTTGCGTTCAACGTGACCTTCCTTCCCAGCCCCAGGAGACGCAAGCTGTGACCGTCGCGATTGGTCGGAGCGGACTCTTATTGGCTAATAGCACGGTGATTGGCGGCGCTGATTGGCCGACGCGTGGCCAGTGCTGGTGCGGTGCGGGGGTCCGGGAGCAGGAAGGAGGGAGACGGGCTGCGCTTCCGCTTTGGCGGCATGTCCAAGTAACGGGCAGCATGTACAAGTAACGGAGCGGGTACGAAGGCAGCGGTATCTAGTACCTTTCCAATGCTATTCTTATGTTTTTTCCCCAGCTCTTCTCCTCTTTTTGCTTCGTAACGGTTCACAGTGCAGTGCAGCAACTAACTGGGCCGGCTCTTATCGCCTCGTGGCTTTTTGGCACTTTTCTGGGGGGGGAACCGTTGAAAAAGAGAGGGGAAGGAAGGGCACGGGTATTCTGGGGCCGAGACGAGCAGGAAAAAAAAGTCCCAAGAACAGACGGACGGAGCAGTGCTGCTAAAAACGGTCTGGAATTAATCAGAACAAACGAGAAGCGATTCATCTGAGAGAAGGGGGTACAGAAGGAAGAAGGAGAAGAAAAAAATTGGTAAACTGTTACGTTCTTCTTTCATCTGCGCCTTGGCTTCAATTGGTTCTTCTTCTTCTTCTTCTTTCTTCGGCTTCGGGGGGGTCTGCGCATTTGCTCTCCCTCTTCTTCCTCTTACATACAAGCACCCGGCTCTCTCTTATTTTTTTTTTTAACCTTTTTTCTCCGCAGCGGTTTTGTTTCTTCCATCTCCTATTTTTAATCATCTTTCAAAGTCCAGGGCCGGCAAGAGACGGGAAAGAAGAGAAGGGAAAAGAGGATCGAGGGAAGTTGATAAACGAGATCGCCGGGGGATTTTACACATTCGCCTTGCCATTTTGCCTGCAGAGGTGGTTCGATTTCGCCCTCTTTTATACGTTCGGATTGCCTTTTTGCTTTTGCCTGCGAGACAGACAGACAGACCCCGCAGAGCTTTCGTTCTTCGCTTGACTTCGGCCTACGCCTCGCCATCCCGCCGCAAACCGCTCGAGTTGGTTCAGACCAGACCAGACAGGAGAGCATGGCCCAATATGCCAGCGCGGCCAGTCCCGCCCAGTCGACGGCGACGACGGCATCAGCGCAGCAGCAGCCCGCGGGCCAGTCGCAGTCGCAGTCGCAGTCGCAGGCACAGGCTCCCCAGCACAAGCGCGTCTACCAGGCGTGCATCCCGTGCCGCCGCCGCAAAGTGCGCTGCGACCTGGGCAGCGTCGACAACCCGCACGACCCGCCGTGCGTGCGCTGCCGCCGCGAGAGCAAGGAGTGCTTCTTCAGCGCCACGCGCCGCAAGAGAAAGACGGACGAGGACGACAGCGACGCCGACGAGTACGTGGTGCGCAACGGCCGCAAGAAGCTGCACGCCGCCGACAGCCCGCCCCTTTCGCGCTTCGACAAGCGCCAGTACAGCGACACGCCCCTGACCCCGGGGGGCTCCCACGGCAGGGCCCAGCCGCTGCGCAGGCCGGACGGCAAGGCTGGCGGCGGGCGCGACGATGGCGAGTTCGACGGCGACGGCGACTCCAACCAGACGCTGGAGAACCTCGAGGCCCAGACCGTCATGAGGCGCGGCGTCTACGGGCCTCACGACGCTCTCGACCTCCTCTACAAGGCCGCGACGGACAGGTTTGTCATGCCTTCGTCGGCTGCTGCGTATGGCACTGCTAACCGCGAGTCCAGCCCGGCTGCGGATACACATCGGCGCCAGCCGAGCATGGCGTCCATTGCCCCGGGGCCGCCTCAGCAGGCCCAGGCCGCGGACGAGCCCGGCCTTCGTGCCCGGTCGAGAGGGCCGTCCATATCCGTCCGGCCCGAGCAGTCCATTGACCCCAGCCTGTCTCGTCCGACGCTGAGGGCCCAGCCCGGCTATGAGGACGCCCTGAGAGCCTGGTCGAGGTTCCGCTTCGTGCGTGCTGGATGGTTCACCGCGCAGGAAGCCATTGAATACATTGACTAGTAGGCTCAGACTCTTGAACCTTTGTTGTGTATTATCACGTTGCCGAGCTGACTTTTTCTCCCTCTCTTATAGCTACTACAAATACCTGTCACCACTTACACCGATTTCGCCCCCTACCTTTAGCAACCCCTCGTCTCACCTGACTCTTTTGACTGAGGAGCCCATTCTCACGGTTACCTTGCTTACGATTTCCTCGAGATACTGCCAGCTTCCCGGCACCGGTGGCATATGTCGATCTCACGCGGTGCCGGAACAGCTGTGGACCTATCTGCGTGGCATGATTGAGAGATGTCTTTGGGGACAGGAAGCCTTTGGAGGTGGCTTCTGCGGGTCGGGGTCTGCTTCGACTTCGATGATTGCGGAAGAGTCCCAGACGAGCAGCACGGCGCCCTGGCGGGGTCTTCGCAAAGGCAGCTTGAGGACGCTGGGCACCATTGAGTCTCTGCTGATCCTGACCGAGTGGCATCCTCGAGCGCTGCATTTCCCCCCACAAGAGGCCACTGATGAGCTGGTGCTCCCTATTGCGGAGGCTTCGCCGTTGATGGCGTCCGAGGATGAGCTGCACAGGACGATGGGGCCGGGTATTGGCGGCAAAAGAATCGAGAGCTGGCTGGAGCCGGCGTGGAGGAGCGATCGCATGTGCTGGATGCTGCTCAGCACCGCCATGGGTTTGGCCTACGAGTTGGGTGTGTTTGACGATATTGATGAGCTGCTCAAGGATGATGCCATCACTCGTCCCGAGTACAAGGACGAGGTGTACCGCCAGCGGGCCAACCGCATCAAGCGGCTGCTGCTCATCTACACGAGCCAGCTTGCAGGTCGTTTGGGCTGGACCAGCATGACACCGGAGCACCTGAGAAAAGCCGACCCTGCCGTTGCTCGTCAGAGACCCTTGACCAACGACAGCAGCACGCCCGCGACAAACCCTTCTTCTCTGGCAAACGGATTCAACTACGTCCCGGACCTGGAGCTCGACGACCAAATCATCCACTGCTGGGCCGGCATCAGCAATGCCATGCACCTCGGCAACGAGAAGCTGTTCAAGACGCGCAAGCACACGACGGAGATTATCCAGTCGGGCAAGTACGTCGACCTGCTGCGGGACTTCACGCCGCTGCTCAAGGACTGGTATCGAGAGTTTGAGCTGTTCCGTCTACCGCAGTACATTCGGCATATTCTGACCATTGAGTACGAATACGTCCGCATCTACATCAACTCCCTCTCGTTGCAGGCGGTCGTCGAGCGGTGCACTAACAATGCAGGCAACACGTCCAGCTCGGGCAACGGGGTCCAGCCGACGCATCTGTCTCCGCAGACCATGATCAACTACGGAAAGCTGCCCCTGGGCCAGCTGGGAGGCTTCACGGTCCACGACCAGGAGTACGTGCGCGAGGTGGTGGACGGGAGCCGCAATCTCCTGCGGACGGTTGTCGAGGGACTGCTGCCCGGCGGCTACCTCAAGCACGCGCCCGTGCGGACCTACTTTCGCATCATCAGCGGCGCCATGTTTCTGCTCAAGACGTTTGCCCTGGGCGCTCCCCGTTCCGACGTCAAGCTGAGCATTGAGCTGATGGACGCCACGGTGGAGGCTCTGCGCAACTGCATCGTCGACGACGTGCACCTGGGCATTCGCTTCGCCGACCTGCTGGAGTCTCTTACCAGCCGGCTGCGGAACCGGTTCATCCAAGCCCCGATGCAGCAGCCGTCTGCTAATGCACAGAGCCCCGTCCCGGAGGCAGGCAACGCGGGCGCCGTGCAGCCGGTGCAGAACGGAGAGGGCGAGAACGGCGCAGCCTGGGTGGGCAGCCACGCACAGAGACTTCGAGACGGTCTCAACGGACACTGTAAGTCGAAGGCTCTTCCAGATGTGCAAAGATTGTTCTAGCAAGCTAACTCATAACCGTAGACCGAGTGCCGACTCCTGCCAACAACAACAACACCACCGAGGCAAACAACATCTCCGCCACGCCCTTTGACCTCTCGACCGGCAACTTCCCCTACCACGGCGCCTCGTCCATCGGCCCGTCCACGCCGGCGGCGGACAACAGCAACGCCTCGGGCGCCGGCAACATGGACGTCAACCTCTTTGACGAGTGGAACAATGCCGGCAGCGAGATGTGGTATCTGCCGCCCGGCCCGGCGTTTTTCCAGAACATGGAGAATAGCTCGGTTGCGATGACGGCTGAAGGTGTGAATGTCGGTGGGCTGGATTTGTTGGAGTATATGGCGATGGATCCGGTGCAGTTTCCGGGGCTGGATGGGGGGACGAGCGGAGCGGCGAGTTGATGCGTTTGATGAGCATGAGGTTGATTTATGTGTGTGTGGGGGGGTTTAAAAAGAAGAGGTTAGGGGGGGGGATATTACCGGAATGGAAACAAGACTGATTTGTTTGACAAATACGGGCTTTTTTTTTGTCGGATTGTTTCTAATTGGGTTCTCTTGAGGGATGTGGTAGGACTAAGAATTGACAATTGGCATTACGTTGGACTGTTGTTTTGCTTCCACGTGCTGCTGTGAGATGGTGATGAAACGCTTCTCTTTTGTACGATTTATTTCTTCGTAGTTGACACGTCCTCTATCCACACAATTTTCTTCCTCATCCAAGGCCAAGGCCATGTTGTTAAACTGAATTTTATTCATTCTATTTAAAAAAAAAAAAATTCCCACACCCTAAACCCATCATCTATAAAACACTTGCACCACAACTCAACCTCGTCCAATTCAATTTCTTCTTTCCTTCTTTCTGTCTTTATCAACTCTGCTTGGGGGGGGGGGGGGGGGGGGGGCGGGGGGGGGGG